CACTTGATATTGGCGAAAATTTTCTTCTCTATGGCACGACTAAGGAAATCTGGGATGCTGCCCGTGAGACCTATTATAGTGCGGACAATATAAGCGAACTATTTTCTGTTGAGACCATTCTTCATGACTTTCCTCAAGGTGAATACTTCAATACTCTTACTCGATATTGACAACAACTAGATCTATTGGAGGTGTACCCTTGGAAGTGTCCCGAAGACTCTGTCATATTTCGCTGAATCATAGAACAGAAACGCACCTTCAAATTTCATCTCGGCCTCAAATCTGAGTTTGACCAGACTCGCTCACGGATTTTGAATTCGAAACCTCTTCCAACAATTCGTGAAGTTTTCTCCGACATACGCCGCGAAGAGAGTCGCCAAAAGGTCATGTTAGGTGCTTCCCTATCCACCACAGCCCTCGACGGGTCTGCACTTGCTCGTACCCACCACCCCCCCCCCAACCCCCCGACAACGCCTGGGCCGCCCTTGGTGTGACCACTGCTGCCGTTCTGCTCATACTCGGGATACGTGTTGGCGGATTCATGACAAGCCCGTCAATGGGAAACCCAAACGGGATCATCGGGCAGCTACCACCAGCACCACCGAAGCCTCTCCAGGAACGAGCCCATTCAACGAAGAACAAATTCATGCCCTCCAGAAGTTGCTCAGTTAGTTGCTAAAAGTCCAGCCTACTAGTGTGACATCGGGTGCCACCGGTCTTGTTAACTATCAAGGTATTTCCTCATCCGCTTTCGTCTTGGATTCAACCTCTTATCGACCTTGGATTGTTGACTCAGGTGCCTCCGATCATATGACCGGGGATGTCTCCTTATTAATGGATTACCGACCGTGTAATCCGACCCTCACTGTTCGGATTGTTGATGGATCAGCTTCCAAAGTTGCTGGTCTTGGTTCTGTATGCATCTCTCCAGATTTATTTCTCACTTCTGTGCTTCATGTTCCTACTTTGGATTACAATCTGATCTCTATTAGTAAGCTTACTCATGATTGTCATCGTGTTGCTAAATTTTTTCCATATGTTTGTGAATTTCAGGATTTGAAGTGGGGCAGGATGATTGGCAGTGCTGAGTTGTGCAGTGGTCTCTATCTTCTCAACAAACCCTCTGTCAGTCTAGTCTCACCCACCAGTTGTATTCCAGTATCAAGTCTGTCTTGCTTAAATCCGCTTAGTACATCTGTATTCCATTCCAGCGTTAATAATGAGAGTGAAATCATGTTACTCCATTATCGTTTAGGTCATCCCAATTTTATGTACCTGGGGAAATTGTTTCCTCATTTATTTATTAATAAAAGTCTTACCTCTTTTAATTGCGAATTTTGTGAACTTGCCAAGCACACTCGTACTTCATTTTCTCGATTATCATACAAACCCACTCGTCCCTTTTCTGTGATCCATAGTGACGTCTGGGATCCTTCTCGTGAAAAAAATGTTTTTATAGTGACGTCTGGGGTCCTTCTCGTGAAAAAAATGTTTCATGTTTTTGGGGCCCAATGGTTCGTGTCCTTGATTGATGATCACACACGGGTGACATGGATTTATCTTATGCGTGACAAATCCGAGGGAGGACTAATATTTCGTGCAATCTATCAAATGATACTCACTCAATTTGACACAAAAATCCAGGCTCTCAAAACAGATAATGCACGAGATTTTTTCAACACCTCTCTAGGAACTTTTCTTACTCAACATGACATCCTTCACCTTAGCACGTGTGTTGATACTCCCCAACAAAATGGGGTGGCCGAGGGGAAAAATTGTCACTTGTTGGAGGTAGCCCGCAGTTTCATTTTTACCACATCGGTCCCTAAATGTTATTAGGGCGATGCAACATTGACCGCTGCCTGCCTCATAAATCGGATGCCCTCTCGTATTCTGGGTTTCCGTAGTCCAATTGATCTCTTCCTTCGCTCCTTTCCAAATACCTGTACACTCTCTTCAGTTGTCCTTACCAAACTATTTGGTTGCTCCGTCTTTGTTCATATTCACAAACAACACCACAGTAAATTAGACCCCAAATTTGTCAAATGCATATTCATCGGGTATTCGACCAACAAGAAAGGCTACAAGTGTTATTGTCCTTCAACTAAAAAGGTCTATAATTCT